TTTAAAATGGAATTACAGCATGAAAGCCAGAGTATCTCAAGCTTCTCCTCTTGTGCAAACCCTGACACACATTTCTTCTCTGAGCACTTCAGCCCTCGGACAGCTGACACACACACAGGATAAGCACTGTAAGCCAAGAGATTCACCAGCTCCAAGAAATTAATACACTGGACCAACCACTTTTTGGCAGAGGAGTCCATAGCAAGCTTGACAATCAAATTCCCTCTCTGGCAGTTCTGCTCATCCCTGAGCATGCTGGTTTCAATTCCCAGGCTTGTTCTATTTCCTTACTTGCACTAGGAACTACAGTACTATCTAAAACCCATAGAAGGAAGAGCAAAGATAACTTCCAGTCACATTTTTCTGCTCTGATCAGTTGAGGGGGGGGGGTCTCAGTCTTCCTGCCAAAGACTTAAAAAACTGATTTTACTGTTTCAATATGATTGCTAACAGAAGTAATAAATGTGAGTCACCAGAGGGCACTAACACTTCTACCAAATGGCAAATGCAGCCTTCAATTAGGGAGGCTGATAATTACATCCACATCATCATGTATATTTTATCTGGATTGAACTTCAGCCAGCTTGTTCTAATCCATGTTCAAATCTCAACTACATACTGATGAGGCAGTGAGCTACATTAACTGTTGTGGTCACACTTGCAGTACATGAGAGAGACTCACAGTCTGCTCAGACAGACCAGGGGAAATAGGGCAGGCACACATTCACATGCCATCTCAAGCTTCCCTTGCCTATGGAATGTATGTGTACATCTAAATATAAATGAAATTCTGAAACAGGCATGGAGAACTGGCCACAAGTCCTACATTTCAAAGAAACAGAACAAATAACTATTCTCAAAAGTTTGAATCAAGATCTATCCTATCATAGGGGACTGCAAGCCATATCTGCCTACAAAAGAGAAATGGGAAAGGCTTCCCTTTAACCATCAAACAGCAATGGATGTGCTGCTCTCTCAAGTCTGACACTGAATTAATTGCCATCTTACAGCTTTAATCTTTAACAAAAGACACCGCTCTTTGCTACTGAGAAATAGGCAGGTTTTTAAATCACAAATATGATGCACAGGACGGGCTGACAGGAGCGTTTCTTGATATTCTGGCCAACCAGCTCTAGAGCCTCTCAGTGCCAGGCAAAAGTGTGCACTGCAGCACGGCCAGGGGGTTTCTGAGGCAGGAAACCTTGACTTGTTGATGCAACGGATACCAAGAGCTGAAACACACCTTAACAGTGCAGACATATGAAAATAAGGGCAAAGACTCCAGGCCCTGSAGGGTACACAGCTGCTTCTTCTCCCAGCTTTACCTAAACTGTCATTCTTGTAGTCAGGACTGTARGACAACAAAGACAGGGGAAGGGAAAGGGAATCCTATCCTTATGGAAAAGTACACCTTACACATTGAGCTGCTGTTTGTTTGTGCTGGAGTTACTGACAGATAAAAAGTTACAGCGACAATGAGGCTGGGAGGGGTAGGAAGAATTCTATGAACAAACTCAGGGAACACCATAGGCTCAAGAAGACACCACTTGTGCCATTTGACAGTCTACAACCCATCTGGAAGCCCRCTGGGAGTTCTGAAAACACCAGCTGAGAGTGTGCTTGAGTGGCACACCTCAGAGCAGTGAGTCCAAGAGAGTAAAGATCAGCCTTATATGCAGGTCAGGAACACTGTATTTTAAAATACTTTGTGCTGACTCACTAGATTTCCCAGTTTTTTTAATTGCTGTACTATAAGATTCACCGAACAGGTCCCTTTTGTTAGACAAACTSTCCTATAAACTAAAACATAGACTGGCAACAGCCCCCCTTGGCCACAGGTCCGTTTAATGGTCATCATTTATGCCATTCTAACTTCTGAGTCACAGCAAGCAGCTCCAGTGTTCACAACACATCATGCCACACAACACATCCTCTGTGCTTAGGACTTTGGGCCACCCTCTCCCTGTCCCCACCTTCTCCACTTCACACAGCTCCTTCTGACTGCACAGCACCAACATTGGGAACCCTTGGACAGTTCACACTGCCTTGCTCCAGCTCCGATATCGGATGGTCCCTTCCTGGTGGGCAGAATTCCAGGTGGAACCAGCTTGCCCACAACTGGCACTCCAATGCCAAGCTCCCTAGATTCCTGCAAGGCTTTTATGGATCTTTGTAAAGGAAAAAGAGTTGCAGTAACATATCAACTGAGCATACAAAGCATCTACTCCAAATATCCAATTGCAGCATTAAGACACACTCACTTCAGCAGTCTTTTAAGGTGATTAATTCACAAACAGACAAAACATGAAGCCCACAAAGCTTCTGCTCATGCAATAACTATGACACACACACTTGTAGTAAAAGATGATTCCTACTGCAGCCGTTCCAGGTATTTAAATGGAAAAGTTTCAAACAGAAATTTTCCCTCATTATTTTGAAAATACATTTCTATGTATGTTTTCTAACAAGAACTGTAAATCAACACTCAAAAGAGAAATATATTGTGTCTTTGGTGGCCTATACTTTGACAAAATGCATCCAATTYCACTCCTCATTGCTAAAGGACATTCTGAATTCAGCTCTACTTGCTGAATGAAAGGAGGAACACAAATGACTCAGCTTCAAGCAAATATAAAGGAAAAGATTAACCCCTAATCTCAATGAAAAAAAAAACAAAACAGTGGAACAAACTGATTAAGATGGAGGTGTGGCCTGTCAATTCAAATCTTTTAATATTCAAACACATCAAGCAGAACATTAGCACTTACTCCGTAGAAACACAGTCAATTTCAAAAMTCAAAGCTTACTCAAGTAGTTGAAGTTAAAGTTAGCCCTGTATCTTCATTCTTGTTCGTTAGTGCTGAGCAGTATAAGGATCAATAAAATATCTAAACATTGGCACTTATAATCTACAGTCGCCAGGTAAGATAAAAGTGTAGAAAGGAGATCTCTCCAAAAATCTGCCAGAAAACCCCACATTTCTACAGAAAAAAACCCCAAAGAAATAAGCAAAACTCACTGCTGAGTAAACAGGGTAACTTTATGAAAGTTTTTTTTTGGGGGGGGTTGGAGTGGGTGTCTCCATTAGACTGAGGCAAACATTTCTCATCAAAATGCAGCTAAATAAATCACAAGGTAGAGTATTTCACAAGGGGGCTYACAGACACCAAGTGACTGCTGTACATCCTCCACATGAATTCCCAAGTGCTCATCCTMCATCTCAGCCATGCCACACCAGCATCTGAGAGCAGAACACGCCTCCAGCCATGCTGAGAGGAATATTTCATTCCAGACTAGCCAGAGTGTTCCTTTACATGCAGCCCGAACTCCAAATACAGATGTCACCAGAGGGCACCCTCTCAATTCCAGTGACCCAGTATTAGCCAACTTCTGAGCAGGACTGCAGACAACCCACGAGCAGGGATGTGCAGAGGCTGTGGAAAGCAGGAATAGTTCTGCTCTTGCAAGAGATTTCCTTTTTTAAAAAAAAAATCCCACCATAGAAATTAGGTTTTTTTTTTTAAAAAAAAGAATTGACTTATATRGACCAGAAATGCAAAGTATTTTCCAGAGTAATCAGAGACACTGCTAGAAAAAAAAAATCCCAATTATCAACTTCTGTACAATGCTATGCTGTGGCACTTGATGGTGCCAACTCACTCCAGCTGTTTTGGCATTCATGTGTATCATATCAACTCACAAAAGCAAGGCCCAAGGCAGAGGCCCAAGCTTATACCGAGGCACCTATGGAATTCCTCTGGTTCTATTATCAGATACTACACCTTACATGAAAAAAATGCATTGTCAAGAGAAAGCTATGGGAAACAATACATTTTTCTACTCCTCATTGCTCTGCATCTGATATTAAGAGGGTCAGAGAGAAAACTATGTACATGAAAAAGGTACAAAAGTATGAGCCCAAGTGAGTACTTTTCAAGCTTTGATTGTGTATTATTTCTAATGCCCTGTTGAGAGTTAATTATGTTTTAAAACAATCAATCACCTGGTGAGCTGAAGCTCATTAAGTAAAATTATGCACAACCACTAAAATATGCAATAGGTCTATATACAAAAAGGGTCTTAAAYCACTGGTTAGCAAACCACAGTTCAGCACAGACTGCTAAACTCATTTTGTTTAGAAATAAATGCCACCATAGTACAACTAAAATGAAGTCAGCTGCAGAAGCAAACAGTGATAAGAAAAAGAGAAAATAATCATTATGCATCCCATATTTTCCAATCCTGAGAAAACAAAAAAAACTATGGGCCTATCAAACATTTGATTGCCTAGTTATTTACCTACCCCATTTGAAAAGGAATACTCTCCACCTCTTCTAGCTGTGACAGCAAAGCTTCCTAATTCAGCAGTCACAGAGTGCAGGAATAAGATCTGTGCAAAGGYTTCATTTGTCATTACAGAGCTCTCTCAAATAGTATCAGTATAGGAAACTTACAAAATAGAGGCCTGTAACTACTATTAAACCCACACCGCAAGTTACTCCAAACTATTACCTGTCATCACCACTCATCGTGGTTTCAAATATATCCACAGAGTTGCTTTTCCAGTATCTGCTGCCCGGAAAGAAATAATGCCAAATATGCCTCATGTCAAATAAAAAGCATCTATTTGTCCATTCTCTAAAGCAGATTCCCGTCTACTGCAGGCAACACGCTCTGAAATTACCCTGGTTTACATGAAAGCGGGGCGACGTGGTGTTTACCCCCTGCCTACACCCACTGTCCATGCTGTCCCCTCGTGTGCCCATCCCTGCGCGCTGCCCTGCCTTTCCTACCACCATCCCTTCATGCTGCCCTGCCCTGTCCCTAGTGTCCCCATCCCTGCGCTGCCCTGCCCCTCGCGTCCCGGTCCCTGGGCCCATCCCTGGGGCAGGACCGATGGATAGCGGTATCTCACCGCCACAGTCTCCGCTCCGCCCCGGCCGCCCTCCGGCCCCCTCGGTGCCCCACGCATGGACGCGATTCTGCCCGTCCCCACGCACCAACAGCCCGGTCCCCAGGGGCTCCAGAGACAGCAGAAGGGAGGTGTCCACGTTATAACCCACTCTTCAGCCCCGCACGCAAGCACCGGGGGGACGAACATCTCTCCCCGCAGCCCCGCATGCCTCCGTCCCGCAGACAGGCTGGTGCCCCGGGCGCAGCCGCCCGCACACACCGGCGACAGGGGGCTCGGCACTCCGCTCCCCGCCACCCCCGTGCGAGGCGGAGGMGGACGAGAGGGTGGCAGGTGAGCGGCGGAGCCCTGGGGGGGGCCGGGACCCTCCCCGGATCTGGGAGGGGACGGAGCGCCTCCAATCCCCGGCCAGCAACAGCCCTGCAGGGCCCGGCGTGCGAGCCGGGGTGAAACCTCCTTTTATCTCTCCTCCTCCAGCTCCGAGGAACCGGACAATGAGCCCCGCGGAGGCGGGCGCCGGCTCCCTCCTCCTCCTCCTCCTTCTCCTCCTCCTCCTCCCTGCCGCGACAGCGCAGCTCACCTGCGAGAGGAGGGATGGATGCCGGCGGGGCGGCCGCTCGGAGGTGCTGCCGGAGGGGCGGCGGTGTGTGCGCGGGTCCCTGCGCGCCCCCGGCTCCGCAGGCGCGGGGCGGCCGCGGCCACACTCCCTCACACGCTCCCTCTCACACACACACAGACACACACACACACGGGGTGGGGGGGCGCCCGCGCCGCCCGCGCATGCGCGCACAGACCCCCCCGCCCCGCCTCCTCGCTGTGCCGCGCGCGGGCTGCGCATGCGCCGCCTCAGCGCCGTTCCCTCCCCCCCCCGCCCCTCGGCCGCGCTGAGGGCGGGCAGTTCTCCTGTGTGCTCTCCCACAGGATCGGTGAGCTTGGAAACGATCACCGGCAACCTGTGACAACAGCACGGCGTCAACCGCACCAGGGTACTCGGTGCCGCGTCCGGTGTTTCCCTAGACACCTGCAGGGGCGGTAACTCCGCCGCATCCGCGGGCAGCCTTTTCCAGTGTTTAATCACAGAACTTTAGAATTGTTAGGGTTGGAAGGGACCTCTGGACATCACCCACTCCAACACCCCTGCTCAGGCAGGGTCACCTGGAGCAGGTGACACAGGAGCGCGTCCAGGAGGGTTTGGAATGTCTCCAGAGAGGGAGACTCCATGCGCTCCCTGAACAGCTGTTCAGTGCTCTGCCACCCTTAGTGCAAAGAAGTTAAATTTTTACATCTTCACCCTTTCTGTGAAGAAATTCGTCCTGGTGTCCATCCTCAACCTCCCCTGTCTCAGCTTAGGACCATTCTCTCTTGTCTTGTCCCTTCTTCCCTGGCAGCAGAGCCTGACCCCCRTATGGCTGCATCCTCCCCTCAGGGAGTTGTGGAGAGCGAATGGTCCCCCCTGAGCCTCCTTTGCTCCAGGCTGAGCTCTCCCTGAGGCACTGTTCCCTTTAGGAAAGACAATGGGGGCAAGGAAAGGAATTGCCCCCAAAATAAAAATATTATGGTGCTAAGAACTCCATTCTGAAGGGATGCAGTGCAATGACTTTTATGATCTTTTTCTCTTCTCCCGCAGTCGTTAGGGAATAATCAGCTTATGAGGGGGAAGCAAGGCCTTTGAGGTGTTTGCACCATTTCTGGAGTGAAAACCCTCAGCAAACCACAGGGTTTTGCAAGAGTTGCTTTACCGTTGCCAGAGTTGGCGGTGCCACTGTCATGGGGACAGGAGTCAGCATTGCCACCTTCCCATCCGCAGCCCCTGCCAGACAGGCTCTGACCCAGTGAGTTATTGCAATAATTAATAGATACCATTTATATGTACTCTGAATGCTTTGAAAGCAATGCCTAATCTCATTAAATTGTCAATTGACTTATTTTCATCCTGTTGTGGAGTTAAGGCAGTCACTGCTTCCTTCATATCCATGGGAGATGGAGTTGGTAATGTGTTCTTATGCTGGAAGTGTTGCCATTGGACCTGTGGCCACCTGCTATGGATTTTAATGAAATATAGAGCCACCTGCTATGCAGAGTGCCTGATTTTTAATAGATTTGCAGACTGGTGACAATATAGGTACCATGATCCAGTTCAAACAAGTCCAGCAGGCTGGAAAGATGGTTCCAGCTTTTAAATCCATGACAGGGAAATAAGACAGGAAGGACTTGAAAACCTACAGGCACAAGTTTGACAATAAGCAAAGAAAAACATTACTTACAGGTACAGTGCCATTTTCCCAATTGTCATAAAGCTTTGTGCCTAGAAAGAGAGCACTGTTTCCCAGGKTTTTTTTTTTAWWWTTTTTTTCCCCATGGTAATCTGGCACAGTATCAAATTCATTCTGAACCAGAATAAATGAAAAGAAAATAAGATGCCAAATACCATCCTGCTGCAAGGTTTTCAACAGGTGAGTGAGTGGATGGAAAGAATGTTTCACCAGGTTTGGAAACACAATTTGTAGCATAGAAATAAAATATTACAGAATCATAGAATCATTAAGGTTGGAAAAGAGCTTTCAAATCATCGAGGAATAGGAGAAAAGAAAAAGTGGTAAAAACACCTCAGAAAGGGGAAGCAATGGAATTTTTTAAAAAATTATTCTCCTTCACTAATGCAGGAGACAARCTAGTAAAACACGCTTCTCACTTTTAGGGGTGTATATATGGGTTAGGTGACAAATTTTCAAAGACATTTTACAATCCTCTCACAAAATGCTTCCAGAAAAACTGCCTAATGGGCTGTGAGGAAAAAAGCAATGTCATGGACCAAAAACTAACAGAGATTGAACAGGAGAATGTGTTGTCATTCATAGTCATGGTGAAAAGCCAGAAGAGTAAGGTGGTTTCAATTTTGTTGTAAATACCCTTAAAATAATCCAGAAAAAAAAGTTGTACAGAAGGAGACAATATTTGTAGGAGATACATTACTCCCAGCTGTGGGGTGGATTTTGAAGATACTTGGAATGACCTAGCCATRGAAGAAGAAAATATAATGATGTTCAATATAGATAAATACTCATCAGTCCACTGCAGTGGATACTGGAGGAAAGAATTCTGTGTGGGCACCACAGAGGGGTCTAAACCAAAGGAAATAGTTCAAGAAATGCTCAGGCATCCTAAGCAGTGCTCCAGTAGAAATCTCAATTTATGAAAACAGTCATGCATGCAACACATCAAGAGATGAAATGGAGAAAACAAGAAAATATTGTCTGTCTTGCCACCCTTTCATGTAAAAAAGTTTTAGAATGAGCAGGGAGGAAGAATGTACATTAGACTGTGAAACTGAAATGCACAATTCTACTCAAGTTTTACAGCAAAGTCCCATGTTTAGCTGCTTTTCACCTATGATTCCAGATTATTTTCCAAGAAACCACCTTCCAATACTCAGTTGCCAACTCTATACATATAGCTGATGTTCTGTATAATTTTATMGGTACAGATCCTCCCCATTATATAAATATTCCATTTAAAATACATTAGTTKAATGTTGCAGCTGTGCTATTAAATATTCAAATCACAGGAAGCAGCAAAAGAGAGGAAATGACTAGATGAAAATATGTGGCAAAATCGTTGGTTATAATGAAGAAAGCTGCTGTCAAAAGTAACAGGAAACTGCTGTCCCTTGTGACTGGCATCTTGTGAGACAATGGGTGCAGAGGCCAAACCTGAACCAACACAGTCATGGGAATAGCTCCAAACGAACACAGCTGACAATCTTATAGTCCATAGGACATSACCAACTTTCACCTGAGAGAGCAAATTGAGGAATCTTATTTGGCCAGCCTTCAGTATTCTTCTGAATAATTMTTTTCTATGGATCTCAGAAGTTCTTTTTTTTACATACTTATCCCAAATTTTATTAGCAATGAGTATTTTTATAATTCACTGCCCAACAAGTTTCATCTCTCTGATAGACTGTAAMCAGCCTCACTGTGCCTAACCCTCCAAAATTATGGAGGATATAACATTTCCTTTTGAAAGCAACAGCTTGCATCTTCAACATAGTCTACCAACTGGAAGGAGAAAATTGATCTATTTTTAATTTCACACWTGAAAACCATTTTTCCATCAGGGAACACCAAACGTGTGCTTCCATACACAGACTGCAATATGCTTGCAGGAGCCACTGTACTGAAAYGTTGAGATTGCAATGCGGGACACTTGCTGATGTAAATTCTAAGTCTATGAAAATACCAGCAGAGTACAGTTTATTATGCYTTTTCATTAACAGGTATGCATAAGTATTTTAGAATAAAATATTTCTAATACAAGTTACTTTAATGGAACCAACTTTTCTTGTTGTACACATGTTAAGAAAAAAGAGAAACTGTGCTTTATTATGCCTGGACATACCATGCTCTGGGATTAAAACTATACATTAATATAAAAGCAATTTAATTTTGCTGCCTTTCAWCCAAATTTCCTGAGTACTGCAGAAAAAATACTTTTTTATCTTGTAGCATATGTTTTGAAATAGTATATCATACATTTTGGCACCTAGTTAGCACTTCATTAATTACTAATTGCTTGGCACTAAGTAAAGTTCTATCATTGCCTGAATCTAAAAACAATAATTATCATTAAAAAAGTCATCAGTTAAAATCARTTGGATATAAGATGTCCCAACTGGATGTCTGCTAAAGTATGTAGTTCCCTAAGAAATGARAATATGGTAGAAACTATTTTATTTATATAACCTGCAAGTGCTATTTTCTATTCCTACCATTTGACTAAGTTATTCTATGAGTCTAACTGCATTTAATTTGCACAAGTGCATCAGGTGAGAAAGACTAAAGAAATGTAAAATATTGCTAAATTTACTTGTCAACTTCTGAGAAGAAAATGGTGTAATTTTTTGTTGAAACTGTGTAATCATTTCTCCCAAATGCAACATAGTTGTGGTACCTGCCACCTTAATTCTGTTGTTTCTTGATTTTAGAGTGCTCACCTATACAGGTATGACTTTATAAATGCAGTGCAATTAATAGTAATTGTGCAGTTAATATCCAGGTTCTAGTAAAGTATATTCTGTGACATTTACACCTACATACTCCTCCTTTTTGGTYTGTGATCCTCAGTTATGTCCTTGCCTTTGTTACAGGGAAAAATAGGAATCGGAACTAGATAAATATAGCATTGCTGTAACTATCATCATCTTCCTCTTTTCTTTTAGGATGTTTATGCTTAATACACACATAATACTCAAATATGAGTTTCTACCCCCTAATAAGGAGGATGAGCTTCCTGCTSCAATCATAACAGAAGGGAATATTCAGTTGGTTCAGTTAAACTTGAAACTAAGCAGAAAAAAATACTTTAATTGATAAAAATGTCTGTACCAGGGGAATCTGATTCAAACAGACACTAGACACTAGAAT